CCTGAGGAGCAAATAAATAGTTCAATACCAATTATAACGGAAGACAATTTATAAGAAACCGAAAAAGAAGCTCAATCACTAGAAACAATTTTTTCTGAACATAGTTATATCATGAACACCAATGTTTTATCTCATTGCTCAGAAGAAAAATTAATGTGTCAAGTGAAATACAAACACTTTTTCTAGACCCTAACACCAAAACTGATGTTTTCACTCGACGCACGTTTCGCTAACAGTATCAATTTTCTTCTGAAGATGCTAGTTAGCGCAACGCGCGTCAAGTGCAAATATATCAGTTTTGGTGTTAGGGTAATTAATATCTAGAAGTAGTTTCAACTTTTACACCAAAGGTTCCAATCTCATCGTTTATAGGTGAAATACCTATAACAATACACCGGAAGTCTTTTATTTATTTATTACTTTTACTCAAGACTCCATATGATGAGGCGATAAAATAATTCAGTCCATACTGCTTTGATATATAGATTATGGAAGGATTATGTCTTGAACCCTTCTCATAGATACGCCACTGGCGTTTAGCGTTTGGTGCAGATTTGCCTCAGCATGCTGTTGGTTGTTACGAGTCCATATATCTTTCCTTGTCTAAGACCAAAACAAACCTTTTGTCTTCTACTCAGTTCGTGTTTCTAGTTATGACGACTAGAAATTTATCTAACAGAAAACGAAGATTGAAAGACGAGCTTCTTTCATATTGGATCATCTCTAGAATGAAATGAAGAAATACGGAGTTTCCTGGGCTGTAACACTTGTTATTTTCAATGCATTTGCCAGAGTCTGGCATAACGGTTTACCAATTGAAGTTAGATATTCTAGCTTATCTGTACTCCGTGGCAAACCAGCTTTCTCAAAAACTATATTACCTATATGAGATGGTTCTCTCTCGTTACCTTCATTGTCAACTCTGCATAAGATTTCTATATGGATAAACTCGAATATCAGCCGCCAATGTACATCTTCACCGACAACAAGAATGAATTTCATATGTGAATGAAGAACTAAAAAAAAAAATTGGCTCTGGGTAACAGTAACCAAGAAAAATTTAAATCTAAGAAAACCCATATATCAAATCAAATCAATATAATTTAATGTTTGAAGATGATTTCTTGCAAATGTTGTCCGCGACTCCGCTTTAGATGGCCCATGCACAAGGTCCAATTTTGGCACACTCTCTAACATATCGACCGGTATTTCACGTATAAATGCTTCAATGTTGGCTTCCAGAGCGTTGCTGGTTTATCCCTCTAGATATGAGCCTCAACATGACCCCACAAAAATAATCCAACGGCGTTAAATCACACGATCTAGGCGGCCAATTGACAAGCCCCAAAGTGAGATAAACTGTTCACCGGAGGCGGCTGTTAATTGGGCCATTTTTTCGCGTGCTGTGTGGCATGTGGCACCGTCTTGTTGAAACCACATGTCAGGCATGGCCAATTCTTCTATTTTGGGCAACAAAAAGTCGTCAATCATCACACGGTAGCGCTCGCCATTCACAGTACAGTTCCGGCCATTGTCGTCTTTGAAGAAGTACTTCCCGATGATGCCACCGACCCGTAATGCACACCAAACAGTAACTTTTTTGGGTTGCATCGGTAGATTGTCTTCATTCCAGATGCGGCAAATTTTCAAATTCTACTAGTTAACGTATCCATTCAATCAGAAATGAGCCTCGTCGCTGAACACAATTTTTCGATAAAAATGTGGATCTTCCTCCAACTTTGCCAGCACCCATTCACCAAATGTTAGACGTTGTGGGAGTTCATGTGGCTTCAATTTTTGCATCAGCTGTATCTTAAAAGGTTTTGCACCCAAATTCTTTCGCAAAATTTTCCACGTGGTGGAGTAACAGAGGACCAATTGCTGCGAACGGCGGCGAATCTACATTTCACGGTCATCACGAACACTGACGGATACAGCCGCAATATTTTCTTCGGTCCTCACTCTGCGTATGCGTGTTGGTGGTTTAATGTCCAATAATGTAAAATGGGTTCAAAATTTAGTCACAAGCATCTAAATAGCTTCCTCAATAGGCCGACGAAACTACCTATAAATTGGAAGAAGTCAATGAATTTTGATAATGAAATTCAATAATTTGCAAGCGTTGTTCATTCGTAAGTCGATTCATGGGTAAATTATAAACTGAACTGAATAAGTTTGACAATGACACAAGACACGATTCACGCGTGATCTGTCAAAACAGATACCAGCAAAAAATCACCCATTAGAGTTCAAACCAGACCTTCAGAATATTGCTCACATATATGAATCTACCAAGTATACCCTTTTTGATTCCTCCAAGAGAGAAATATGTCAAACTTTCCATCCCATCGAGAATTAACTCAATACACCTCGAACTATACTTTTCAAGGACTCTTCCATTTTGAAAATGAGGTATCAGCAGTAATTTACATCCACCACTTTCGCTTTGGGACTGCTCAAGTAAGGTCTCAAGGATTTTCCTGCATCTCCATACAAATAGAAAGGGCTTTGGTTTATTCGAACACTTTGGTATGTCTACATAAACTCGATGCCATCTTACGATCCGACATTTCAAATTATCCATCAGCCTCTGAGAATGGTTCGTTACTGTTGACTCATCCCGTGAGTGTACCATTCTAAATTGATTATTTAATAGATGCCATAACTTTATCAATCATTCAAACAAACCCACATTCATGAATATTGTTTCATGGCTGTTATTCCGTGTTTCATTTAAAATGATAGACAGGCGGTTAAACAAATTAACAACCTGTCAAATCAAAAAGGGGACTCACGCGCCAAATAGTGCGGCACCTGTAGAACCTCCTAAAAATAGCGAGAGTCATCGAGAAAGCACCTGTTTCGTGACACACATTCAGACAACGTTTTTCAATTGAACCACGTGTCAAAAATGTTTGAAGATAAATCCCGTAGACGCAATTTAGCGTTCATTCTTATTTCAAATGACAAGCAAATTATGTGGTGTGCCCGTTTCTCTATTTAAGGTGTTATTCGTCAAGGTGGTCACTGGATGTGTTCCAACTAATTGGAAACTCTTTCGTAACTTGCTTTAGGCCGAAAACGAAATATTGATGTCGAGTCATTTGTCGTTCAGTGTGGGTAATGGGTCCAGTGCAAATATATTGTCCACGGTATATAATTTTTTTCGTATTGCTACCTACTTATTATCACCAGTGAAATTGGGATTTCATTTTTTCAAAAGAATTATTTGAATGAATATGTAACATAGTTTGAGGTTTCAACAAAATGACTGGATCAATTTCGCTACAGCCAGCCAAACTGAGGCATTGTTGAACCGAATGTAATATCGAGACTGGTGAAGAACTGAAGAAATTAGTGGACAAAAATAGATTACTCTGTACTGGATATACAGTCGCAAACCCAGGACAACCTGCCTAGGGACCTATCTGTATCTGTGGAATAGGGAGGGTGAGTGTAAGCCCACAGCACTAAGGCCACATGTGACCCATTGTACATCCTCCCGAGAAGTTGTCCTCCTGTCCTTTCCAGGGAGACATATCCTTTATATCGGCAGGTGTAGGCCAAGACTCGCCGAACACACACTCTCTTATTGACGATAACTCCGGGCACTCGCATAGTACATGCCTGACAGTCTCATCTTCATGTTCACACATCCTGCATAGAGGTGTGTCTACTATCCCCATATTATAAAGGTGTTTCCTTAGTTGACAGTGGCCAGTAAGAAATCCTACTGTTAAACGTAGATTTTTCCTGATTATCGCAAGATATTTCTTCAGCGCCAGCTTCCCAGGGTCGCACAGGGTGATCCTGGCAAGATTGCATATTTTGATTCCATCCCATCTCTTTAGGGATTGATCATGGGTGTAACATTCGGCTAGTTACGCAATTATCGAAATCATCAGGCCGTAGGTGCCACTGAGTCCTAAAATTCTTAGTCCAGCCGCTTCCTTGGCTAAGGAGTCGGCAATGCGATCACCTTTACTCCTGTCGGGCCCTTCAACCCACCTCAGAATAATGTTATTATCTACCGAGGCTTTGGCTAAATCTTGGTAGCACTCTAGTACTAGCCCTGAGGTGACACGTTGTCTGTTCAAGGTTAATAGGGATTGTCTGCTGTCAGTGCAGATTGTTATGTTTTTGCCAGAAATTCCTTTCCTGGTTTCCTTTTGTGGCGATTGAGTTACCAGCCAGTTCTGTTTGGACCACGCTGGGATCTCTTCCCATTCCTCACAACACATCCTGAGCCTTCTTTGGTTTTTGAGCCGTCTGTATTGCATTTGTAGCATCTGACTCTGTGCCTAGGGACCTATACGAACATATTTCAAACGATCGCATTTGATTTGTATGTTGACAAAGCAACCTCAGTATTGGTAGAAATTGCCAAAATGACTCTTCTCAATTGACTCAGCAGATTGTCTCTAGTGTGGATTTTTGGTCACACTGGCCTACCAGGCCTACTTGGCCTCCCAGGATTCCTTCGTAATATGTTATCAAACAAATATTAGACTGCAGCAGGAATTACCTTTTTATTTTGATATAGGCCTACTTTAAAGTTACTGTCGTTTAAATCCTAGTATGCAGAGACTTTGACTGCTAGAAGACTGCCGTCTCTGCTCAGAAAATGATAAAACAGCAGAGCATATATACTTCGTGCCTAACCCGTTTCGAACTGAATCAGGTTTTCGGAATTTGGTAAAATTTCACTCTTGCTATCTGACCTAAGAGATCACTCACCAAAAAGCTGACTTATTTGGTAAAGTTAGAATAGCTACAATAAACTCTTTCAGTTTTTAGTTGATGATCGAATAGGCCAACTCACTTTGGACTCTATCCTAATATGTATCTAACTGTAAGATATTTTTGATTCCTTTACTGGAATTGCAAAATAATTTGTTTTTCAAATCAAGTAAGTGGAATGTCACCGATTCAATGCAGAAATATTTATTATTTCTTATTTAATTTATCGATCTGATATCTCAGTTGACGAAAAAAAAAATGGGCTCAACCGGGATTTGAACCCGGGACCTCTCGCACCCGAAGCGGGAATCATACCCCTAGACCATTGAGCCGATATATAAAAAATTGTAATTGTCAGGTTTTGAAGTACTTGTCAAGTGGGGAAAAAATAGTTTTCAAATTTATTGGACAATGAAATGATTGAAAATGAATGTGATAGTGCATTTATGTTGAAATGTAGGCGTTATTTCAGAAGTTGTCTATTGACTATCCATTCTAACAATTAAAAAAATAGCATAAACCACATTAATGAATATGCAAAAAAAATAATTTTCTTCCACTATTGTTACTCAAAACTTACGTGAAATTGAAGAATATACTATTTTCTATCTTGTAATTGTTTTCTCATGTAGCTACAATGAGTAGACATTACCAATTTGAAGGTCTAAATAATTGCTGCCAAAGCTATGACGCACTGTCAATCTGTTTATGCAGCTTCCTGAAAAACTTTCTACCACTTGTAGTTAGCTCAAGTAACTTTAAATTGAAAAAATATTATATTTTTTGTCCCTAAATGTTACTTTTGAGCTACTACAATCAGTAGAAATCAACAGTTCATTGGTGTGAAGACAAACTGAATATTATTATGTAATTTGTTCCTGTAGGTATGTATCTATGGAACTACTATTTTTTTCGTTTTCTTCCACTTGTAATATCACGAAGTGAATAAAAAAAATCAAAGAATGTAATATATTTCATTATAAAACCAGTACTTTCTAGCATTCGATATGTTTTGTCATTTGCTTCCCTAACGAATTTGTTGATCTGCTCTCCTTTTAAGAAATGAGAATGCTTTTGGGAAAGTGGCTGTTTTTTTCACTGAAATCGTACTTTTCAACATGGAATACATTTTTCACAAGGTAAAGAAATTGACTGTTTCAATTTTTGCGCCAAATTAACGAAAATCACATTTATAGGTATGTAAAATTATAGGTAAGATTTAAACTTTACAATCCTGGGAATTGCTCGTACGAGATTATTCAAATACATTCCCATTGATAGTTCCATGATACCATAATGGGCTGAGTGACTTAAAGAGCTTGAATCTCCAACATGAATTTACAAGTTCTCCAGTGTAATAACTAATAATAATAATGGATCAACGTCACGACGATACAAAGCCTCAAAGAAAACCAGACGGGTGGTCTTTAAACTTTTTCAATTCTAGTCTTATTGAGAATATTATGTGTTTAAAGGTAGGTAGTATCGACATAAATTTGAGAATATACCCACAAAATAAGTTGGTATTTAGGATGATTGATGTGGAATTATGTATATCTCGTTTTTCAGATTATTCTTCATTCTTTTGTTAGTTGATTAGTTTTTCGTTCGACCTGGATATTTCAGAAACATAGGGAGATAACCTGAATTTTTCAACGATGTCATGAAGGAAGTATATGTATATCTGTATTTCCACCTGAAAAAAATATCAATAGAATATGTTCGGTTCGTGTGAGATCAGTGTTTGTTCAGAAAACCTGAATGTTTTTTATCATATTGGTGCTGAATCTTAATTTTTCACCAGAACTACTTAGAAATTTAGATTACAAGAGTTTCGGATTTCAATCTGGTGAAAATGTCATTACAAAGCTACATTACAAAAATAACACCCATAAAAGTGTCAAACATCTGGAAATTATCAAATATTTTTTGATTTTCCTGTGAATATCGTTTGAAAAGCATTTCATTCATGTACATTGTTATAAAAAGTTATATCTTCACTTATTAAGCTTCTGCAACATGATTTGAATTGTGATTATTTAGTGTTCAATAAGAGGTTTTATTAGGATTCGTTTGTGGATAACCTAACTATATCCATCTAACAAATAACCCAACAATTACAGATGCAGGATCAAAGCATGATCACCACGCACATTTGCATCTATTGGGTGAAATAAACCTCCTTACACTGGCCAAGCAGATTTGACTGCAGTCGGTGGGCGGAATTCATTGTTACAATGACGGAGTGGTCAGTTACATTTTAACGCCTGTGGCGTGTACATATACGGTATTTTGAAGTTTAAAATTTAAAGAATGTCAAGTACTGATATGGCTGAAGAAACTGCTAATTTGTGTTCCTACACTCCACCTAAAAAAAAATTAATTTCGGTCGTTCCTTAGTGCTACTCTGTTCAAGCAGACTTGTCCAGGATATCACCAGCACTCTGCTTGGTTGGACAGAGTTTAAGACAACATTCAAATAATTTTATTCGATATGAAATCTGTCGCAGTTCCAAACTAACTCTTGATTGTGAATTTTATTAGTAGGGTTCTTGTATATTTTATTTTTCATAATGTTGACTGAGGTAGATAAGCTTGCGAATTTTACAAAAATATCTTCAAACCATTTCTAAAATCCCTAGAAATCTATTCCTCTCATGCGGCTCAGACGTTTTTTCGTTCAATGGATCTGATAAAGTTCTTTTTCAGAACGACAAGTCTAGAATAGAACATGTTTCTTTCCCTATGGGTAGGATTATACGAATGGGCTAATGGGCGTATCTAATTTTGTTGTGAATTTTCTCTTGGCATTAATTTAACGGATGAGAATAAAAGTAAGAAGAATTCGACTAGACTAAATTATGAATGTCATGAACAGTTTTACTTTTACCTCACGAAAACGGACCTACATATTTAGACTGTTTGTTCAGTGTTAGCAATAAAATACAAATACATTATACCCAAGCAGAAGCACGTATTATTGCTTATTTATGAAAATTTTCTCAGGTAATATAAGAATTTTTAAACATAACAGCCCAACTAGTAAGAAGGATATTTTGAGTTATAGTGAGACTTGCCAGAAGAATATTGGATGTAACTGAAATGAAAAATTAGAAATAAGTTTTTCATGTTGGACATGATGATAAGACAATTATGAAATTGGTAGAACTTGTAATTTTTTCACAATTGAAAACATACCCAATATTAGACTAAAGTTGAAAATGATATAATTTAGGAGAGATTAGTTTTTGGGAAAGAAATGTTTTCGCTATCTACTTCTCCATCTCCATTTAAAAAACGTTATTAGGTAATTTCAGCGTAAACTCGTTACAGAGATGTATATCAGTTGAAAACTCATTTAGGTTTGTCAATTATCCAAACCGGTACACAGGCAAACGAGTTTCCTTAGAAGAGCCCACTAAATTACCTGATATGATATCTCTAGATGTTTTGGAGGAGATACGTGACATATGAAGTTTACGATATACAACCGCATTTTGAATATTCATTGAAATGAACTCCAGTGAGTTTTGAATATGTATTTTCTTGAAATTATGATACTTATTTTTCGTTTGCAGATTCTTAAGACGAATATACAACTGATAATTACTCGGGAACGGGTAATCCGATTTCCAGAAAATGAAAAAGTATTGTATGAGGAGTTGAAATTCGTATCAAACGTGGTAGCACAAGACTCACCTTTCTGTTTGAAAATAATAGTTGATAGCGCAGTTTTGGTGACGAGTCATGCAAAAGTATTGTCTTTCTTATGAAAAGGTACCAAAAATTATACTTTTTATGTGATTTCTTGTTCAAAAGGTAAATTTTCATTTTTCCTAAAGAATATTCCAAAGTAATCCTCAGATATATAGACCAGGGCTGAATGAAGCCTTCAAAAATGGTAAAAAGTATAAAAAAAATTGTTTACCTGGATTTCCGGCAAAACTACAAAAGTCCTATGGGAAAAAGTTGAAAAGCAAAGTTGTAGGTAATAAACAGATCTACAACTTTTGTATTTCCAATTTTTTCACATAACCTCAAAATTTATGTGAAAAATTCAAATAACCAAATTTTTGGTTTTTCATTTTTATCTTTTTTTAAAAAAATGTCACAAATACACTGCAATTCATTTCATTCAAAATATTAATTTTTTCACCTTTTTTTTAGTTAATATCAAAAAAGCACCCTCATTTTCAATCGAAAATTCTCGCGTCAAAATATCAGCTTTTTCCAAAAAGTTGGTGTGCTTTTTGTTCGTTAAAATCTCTATTTTCTGATGGTGTGAAAAAAAATTAAATGCTGAAAGTGCAAAAAATCGAGAAAAATCTAATTCGAATTTTTTTTTCAATCATTATGTACAATTTTCAGCTATTTATGGTCTCATTCCAAACAACAACAAATCCGATGGTCTGGAATGGGTTTATGGAAATAGTACACAATTATTTGACTTATCATACTTCAAAACTTATTCCTATGCCGTTCATAAAAAATCCACCGAGTGATTATGAAACCATTTTTACATCGTTGGTAAAAGCGCCTAAACTGGATGTAACAATTTAAAATGTGGCTGTTGAACACATGGTTTAAAATACACAAATTCATGCTCAAATTGTTATAATTCTGAAAATTGCTCCAATATGGAAGAAAAAACCTACGAGGAAGTTAATTGTGACTTCCCACTTCCCGAACACAGATCGCCCGTAATTTATTTCTCCTTTCATTTTTATCATATTCCCCACCTTTTTTAATGGGTTTCATCGCACTGTTTTTTTTTGTTTAAAAAATTATCGACCCTGGCCTACATATACCTTCGTTTTAAAAACCACCTCTACTGATTCTCCAAAATCCAAAAAAAATTCGAAAATTGGGCTTCAAAAATGTCAGTTCAACTTCTTTTTGAATCCATGATTTTTTCATATCTAGAAGCTTTTCGCTAACACCGTAGCTTTATCGGCAGAAACAATATCAGTAAGTTATTGATTTCCATTAAGTAACGGGTCAGTACATTTATAATTCTCTCTGGATTGAATGGCAATATCTCGATCTTCAGTTATGAACTAAAGAAGTACCTACCACGTGCCGATGCAAATGTTTATCTTGCATTGATTCAGAGTTCATCTCTAATGAAAGAATTGAAAACATGCATTCCGTAAAGTACGCCCATGCTTAACGTTATTACCAGTACAGAGTAGTTGAGGAAGTAGAGGCTACTAATGCTAAACAAATACTTAAAAGTATATTTATTTTCGGATTTGAATATAAAGTTGCAGGTTGAGAAGCAAGAGTATTCTTCCGAGCGACCTGAGTGGGCCGAATTTGGAGCAGAAGTGTT